CAATCATAACGCTCAGAAATATTCATCACTGGGTAATCCGACACACTGTCTAATCCGACATTGATTTTACTTCCCGCAGCATGTCGGATAAGACAGGTTTCACTGTATTTGCAATCTTTTCTCAACCCTCATCTTTGTTTTCTCTATATATTAAGTTGACATTGTACTCCATATACAAATAAAATGAAAATTGCATGGTTCAAGCTCATGGTACACTTACAGGTCATAAGTACTTTTAATATCGTTTCTCTAGTACAAAATTATGATACAGACACGATTGTACGAACAAAACAAAATGCAAGTTAACGACATCGAGGCATATTCAATCTTCCCTACAAAAAAGAAAACTATAATAAACTATAGTCAACTATAATTACTATAATTATAGTATCAGAGTTTTTACTACAGTAAATCAAAGTTTTTACTACAGTAAATCAAAGTTTTTACTACAGTAAATCAAAGTATTTTTACTATAAATTAAAGATTGTTATATTTTATTTTCTCCAATTAAAGGAAATATTACTTGTATATTACATATGATTTCTAAACATTTCATCATTTTGCGTGTAATTAAAGAAACATTGAGGTCATTAATTTCATTAAAAGTTCTAGAGTATTTACTATAGTTAGTTATGGTAAACAATAGTAAATTTTTATTAGCGTTAATTAAAAAAAAATAGTGAAATTTGCCTTTGCATTATAAAAATATCTCATAAGCAAAAAATAGATATGGATATGAGAGAGAGAGAGAGAGAGAGAGAGAGAGAGAGAGAGAGATGATTAAAATTAATTTACCTGTAATATTTCCTATAAAAGGAAGCTCAGTTTACATTGTACCAAAAATATATTACTTAAACCGAAAGGGCAGGCGAATGGTCAAAACTGTCGCTAGCTAGTGGGAAATGGATTGCCAAGGATAGTGTCTCAATTAAAAGCAGTCAAACGGAAAATTTTATGCACGGTTGAAGACAGCAGAAATAGTATATGTGTAAAATGTAACATTGTGACCTAAACTCACTTCATGTGTGTTTGTATTTAGTTCTAATACGTCGATATGTTTTTTTATTGATCTCAAGTTTTTTTCTTCAAAAAATGTCTTTGCTTTGGAAGATCGTGTTAATTTGTTATCGGGCCGCCTGAAAAACTTTTTGTTCAGCACCAGGTAAACACTGTTCATAGGACAATAAATAAATAACCAAACTAAATCTTTCAATATGCTTGTAAGTCTGTGAATTAATTGTTTGACACCCTACACGGATAAAAAATGGAAGTTGGAAGATTTTTAAATGTTTTATTTTAAAGCCAAAAAAAAAAAAAAAAAAAAAAAAAAATCAATTCACAAGTCAGTCATAATCATTTTCAACATCAATAAGTTTATGGTCGAGATTATGAAGGTTATCTCCTCTTACCTGCACATATTTAATTTGATACTGGACGGAATATATTTGGAAAACATGTTACAGTTTTTAAGTTTCAGTTACATTGCGTGTCCAAAAAATGCCTTCCGCATGAAAATGTTAACTACGTGTATCAGCACATTCTTACACATTGTCCCAGTAACTAAAGAAACGCTTGAGTTTTAATTTCCGACTCTCTTAGCATTTATCGAATATGAGTAAGTACACGACATAATGGTTGTAATAAGTATCTTTAGTTAGGATTAGGGTGCGCTTAAAAATCAACATAACATAAACACAATTTTTATTTTGTAAAAGAAAATACCTACATATTTTTTGAGTACACTGCATATTATTCGCAGTAATAAATAATATTTCATACTGGCATCATGTCGTAATTTTGAAATCAGGGTGTGGATATTTGTGTTGCATCAAGCTCCTGCATGCTCTGAAGTTTAACTCTATGAATACTGTGAAATCATAATTTTCGTGTGTGTGTGTGTGGGGGAGGGGGGGGGGAGGGGAATTTTCGTTGTTTACGAAGGATGAAGAGACCCACGAACTCATGTTCTCCATGAAATATGAAATATATTACAATTTAACACTTCTTTAATAAAGTCACGAAATCAAATCCCCCGGAACCCAAATGTTTCCTTCAAACCATGAAAATTTGACCCCATAAGTGATTTTACAGTAAGTTGAAGACGATGCATGTATATGCTGAGAAAAAACGGATATAAACCCTGGAAGCAATATGAGTTGCAATGCTCTAGTCGTAATGTGTTGTAAAATTGTCATTTGCTAGTTGCATGACAGAAAAGAGGTTTATCTTCTGTTATTCATATTTGCGTAAGATTCTGGTTGAAGCAATGTTTTATAATAGTAGCCCTGAATCCACACACACACACACACACACACACACACACACACACACACACACACAAAAACCCCCTCAAAACGAAATTCTTTACTTCTGGGCGCCATATTGAAAAGGCACAAAAGAACACAAAGATCTTTGGCATCATATTATGCAAAAACTGACCCCCTAAAGTTAAACATTCCATAAATCAGACACTGATATGCCTGCCATCAAAAAAAAAAAAAAAAGGTGGGATGAAACAAAATGAACGCAAAATATGAACAATAATATAGGTATAACAATAATAATAAAAAAAAAAAAGACGGTGGAAGAAAGGGGATGGTGGGAGGGTTTTTTCAACAAAATTAGCGTGGCTTTTTCCTCTGGTAAATAAACAACAATGGTCACGTGATTGGGAGAAGCCACGCTGATTGTCTGTAAATTTAGACAATCGTGTCATAGATTAAAATTAGACAATTGATCCCGAGATAAATAGTTTGTACAAACGCCAAACAAAATACATAAATTACCAAAATACAATCATGTCACATCAGAAATAAATTATAACATATGCAATAAATACAGATTCTTGAACTCCGTCACATAAAGGATATTAATATTGCTAGGTGCATGACAGAAAAAAGAGGTTTATCTTCTGTTATTCATACTACTGTAAGAGTCTGGTTGAAGCAATGTTTTATAATAGTAGTCCTGAATCCACACACACACACACACACACACCCTCACACACACACACACACACACACACACACACAAGGAAAAAAAAACCCTCAAGACGAAAGTCTTTACTTCTGGGCGCCATATTGAAAAGACGGCTCCAAGAATGTGCAAACAATGCATCCAAAAAGATATTGAAAATTTTTGGAGAATGTTGGTTTGATTATTGCACGTAACTAAAAACACTATACTTACCTTATACATGTATAATTGTGTAAACAATCACCAGGAAATAGATATATTTGTACTCTCTGGACTACGTCCAATTTCTGAAATGGACAGTATTTACTATAATCCTCAAGTTATCGACACTGAAACGTATGGAACGCCAAATTAACATATATTCAAATATTTGAACCTATCTTCAAATATTTGAACCTATCTTCAAATAATTGAACCTATCTCCAAATGAATTGAAGATAGGTACACTTGAATTAAAAATAGGTACAATTGAATTAAAGATAGGTGTAAATAATTACATACATCTATCTCTAAATGATTAAACCTAGGTTCAAATAAATTACACATCTTTAATGCAATTACACCTATCTTTAATTCAATTAAAGATAGGTTCAATTATATTGAATTATACCTATCTTTAATTCATTTGAAGATAGGTACAATTGATTTGAAGATAGGTACAATTGATTTGAAGATAGTGCAATAGGTACAATTGAAACATATCCACAAAGGATTTGAAGATAAGTACAATTCAATTATACCTAGGTTCAATTCGTTTTGTGTTTTAGAAAATAATGAAAGCTCCCTCAAACAGCGACTTGAACATGGAGGGAACCGAACAAAGCATTTTATGGGGAGTAATTGTTATTGTCGGTGTCTTTATAATTCAAGATAGGTTCAATTCAATTGCACCTATCTTTAAAGTTACATAATGAGCCAATATCATGTGTTTCTTTTAAGATATCTGTATTATAAAGCGAAAGATTAATGAAAATTACGAGTATAGCGAGAATATGACAACTAAATTGCACTGCAGAGCAGGGAAAGACTGCACAATAAAAGTGCCGGAAAAACAAAGGTTGTATCTACCGTTTCGTTGTTATCGTGCATGTCAAGGTCACGCCACTTTTATTTTTAGCGTAAACTTGTAAACAACATTCAATCGGAGCATGCAAAGGTGTGAAATATGTTCTAATAATCTTTTTTGAAGATTGTATCTAAATTTTTGGTCTACCGACATTCATTTTTTAATACTTGAGACCATGGTAACTTCAACTTTTCTGCGCACGCGTACAATAAGGAGGAAATAGTAAAACAATATTTTCTTGTTGGGCTATACAGAAATTATTTTTTTCTCTATAAAAATAGATTTTTTAGGTTCCCAAACCTGTAATTTTCTAAACCTAATACTTTTAGGAAATGAACAAAATTTGCAAGAGTCCTGTCAATTTTCCCGTGTGTGCGTCACAGTTGTGTCACTGTTGTGTTTTGTTATTAAAAATATCTTTATAATTTCATTTTCTCTGAAATGTTATATTTATTAAAATAATGTTTGTAGAATTGATTCAATAAATTTATTTGTGAAATCGCCTTATTTTTTATTTTCTAAAAAAGAGTAATATAAATAATTGTAAAAAATTTAAAGATAATTTTAAAATAAAGAAATAAAGATATATATATATATATATATATATATATATATATATATATATATATATATATATATATATATATATATATATATATATATAAATATATATATATATCAGTCGGATATCCTTATAAAAGTGAATTTCTTTGTGCTTTCTATATTTATATTTCTTCACTTAGGGCAGTTATGTTAGTTTAAGAGTTGTTGTAAAATGTGCTTTATAAATAAAAATCAATTTCATTACGTGTATTGGTAACGATCATCTAATAAAACAAATGTCCAAACAACTGTATCTCACTTCCATTTTCAACGACCGTGTAGTGTAAAGCAGCGCCGCGAGAATTCCATCGGCATCGAATGCAAGTTTTTTGACTTGCCTAGATAGCCGAGCGGTCTAGCGTGCTATTCCTGTACTGCTAGAAGACAGATTCTGTAGGTCGAGAGTTCAACCCCGTGCTGGTGTGGAAGTGGGTATCCTTATAAAAGTGTATATATATATATATATATATATATATATATATATATATATATATATATATATATATATATATATATATATATATATATATATACTAGACGAAATTGCTAAATCACCATTTGTTTTTCTTATTTGTGAATTGAACATTTGCATAATCGGTACTAGTATATCTAATACGCCATCTTTTCAAATACAGTGGGGTTGACAAATGTCTCGGTATCATAACACCCTTAATTAAATGTCATTCTCGCCCGAAAACCAATTTCCCACACATTTGCGCACAGTTTTTGCCCAGATTTGAAGTTGGTGATTACCTATGATGGCCCATAAGGTTGCAACAGAAGCAGTCTTCCAGTTAAAACTCAAATAATACACAGCAATTGACTCTCATTTCGCTTAGTAGTCATCTAATGACCATGCCTAGTCCACCCAACTTCCGGTTGCCCCAGTTTTGTGGAACAATCTTTAAATTGTCCTGTGGTGCTTACTTAATGCCGTGGCTATCTATAGTAAACATTGCAACAAATTTTCACTAGAGGTATGAACTATTTTAATTTGTTTTTTTTTATATACAAATTTCTCCAAAGAAACACCCTGCAGACATCATACTGAATGCTTTAGCACGCTCTTCTAGGGTCAAATGTAGCATACGGTCTATTTTTTTCCCCTGAGTTTTTACTTGGTACAAACATAAAGAACACAAACACAAAGAAAAATAATAGAAAATTATTCATTCAAAAAAGCATGGCCACGATTTTCATTTTTCTATAAAATTGTTACGCTTCATTTAACATTGAAGTTATTTATCAGTTAAGACATTTAAATGCCTCATTTTGTACTTATGTAAAATAATTTTATATCAAATACATCATAACCAAGTTTTGAAAAGTAAAATATTTATTTTCTTTGACGGTGCATTAGCAATTTTGTATATTTGTGGAGTTAGATAACTTTGTTAATAAAATATATATTTTGTACATTACTGAATGATATGATTAAAAGACCAAAATGAACTCACTGAAAAGTAAAATTTTTGTTTCCAGAAAAGTGTCTTGTGTACTGCATAGAAATAAGTATAACATCAGTATTTCCATCATGACTGTATTTATAACCCCACCGGTCACGGTGGCCTAGTGGTAGGGCGTTCGCTTCGTGATCGGGTGGTCCGAGTTCCATTGTCGATCGGTCAAACCTAAGATAAACATATGTAGTGACTGTTCCATAGCCAAGTGCCCTGTATTAGAAGTGAAAGTCACAGCTCTTTCGGATTTGACCTTAAATACCGAGGTCCCCTGTCACGGTGGGCGTGGCACGATAAAGAACCCTGACTGCTCAGTGACCCTGAGTGCCGAGTATAGGTCTAAATTTGAAGTCTTTCGCCAAGTATGGTGACGTCTCTATATAAGTAAAATATTCTCGAAACGGACGAAAAACAACAAATATACAATCATTCAATCAGTCAATCATTTACAATTCCCCAGTGTCAATAATTTAAGATTGGACTGTGTACATTGCAGAACGTTTGACTTTGCACCACAAAGGACAAAAGAAAACACATGTATTTGTTCTTGTCCGTAATATCAACTTTCAATCTCAACAATTTGATTTATCTATTGTACTATCCACAAGTTGCGAATACTGACAGTCCATTTTAGAATTACATATATACTCCCATTTAGAATTTTCTTTTAAGATAGAACATATAGAATATGTCATGTGGACAAGGAAAAATCCATAATAAATAAACCAAGTAAATATTTAATAATTTTGGGTTTTCGTATATTAAAAAGAGCTATATGATGCTGTTGATGAAAAAAAAATTGAAGTAAGAGATAAAATTTAAGTCTTTTTATCTTAAATGTAATGAATTGTTAGAAAACATTTTTATTACTTTTCTTTAAATATAGTTATAAACTATAAAAATGTTTCAATAGAATTTAAATAATTAAAAGGGAGTAATAATCTGATTATTGTAAGATAACCATTAACATTTTTTTAAACTATGCATTTTCAATTTGCATAGCTATAGCTCTTTTTCCCCAGTCACTTGCCTTAAAGCATAAAATATTTAAGAAAAAAGAATTTTAGTTAAAAAGTACTTTAAAGAGTGCAATTCAAAGATCCCAAAACTTTGATGATGCAAAATGTCTTTCATGTACATTAATAACAGAACTTGGGAAATACATGATTTTCACAAAAGCAAAAATTTTTAATAATCCTGAAATTGCGAATGTAAATGTAATCATTTTTATGCCAGGGAGTAATTTCAATCTCTTTTATAGGCAAATCGTTTTTTGAACGCCTTACACATGTTCGGGAATGACGAAACTTTATTGGAAGCTACATATTTAATACAGCAAAATCTATTTAATAAAAGTATAATAAAAAGTCACTTTAATATAGATATTGATACATACTTACTTTATACAGCAAAATCTTTTAAATCAAAGTCCAACATAAAATCACTTAAGAACATACGCAACGTACATATACACGTACCTTACAACGTACACACCTACTGATGATTTTTCACGATATTCTTAATTTAGAATTATAGTACCATCAGATGTTCATAGACAAAACATAGCATACATAACTAGGGGTTTTGAAGAGATATCAAATGATAAAATTCTTGTATTTTTCGAAGAAAATGTTAACAAAAATATAGTTGTATGTTGTTTTTCTTTACAAGATTTAGAAGAGGTGTACAGCATCTTTAGGCATTAATAGTCTCACATCAATTATTGGAACTTTTAAATAATGCAGGTAATAAGTAAATAAAGAAAGTACAAAATTTAACTCCGTTGCGTATTTTCTTAAACATAGATGTTGATACGTCTCATTATTTCCCCATTATTTGCAGCATATAACTAAACAGATCCATACACAAAGAGCCATATTCAGTAGGCGGACCAAATTGGAAATATGAAACACAAGATAACTTTTTTTGTGACAGTAAGAAATTTATGCAAGTATTATAGCATTTTTCCTATTCTTTGAAACTTTGCAATGCTCTCTCTCTCTCTCTCTCTCTCTCTAATAACTGACTACATCACTGTGATCATAGTACATGTTCAACATTTCTTGGATAATTTCTTTCAATGTATTTCTCTATTTCTCCACTGCAGGCATATTTTATTATCTAAATTGAAAAAAGAAGAAGATTTTCCTTATTTCACCATGCTGGTCGAAATTTGAAGGAAATATTTAGTTCCATTTGTCTTCATCATTTTTTATTAATGTGTTTACCAAGCTCATGATAAATTGATTTCACTGCATCTTGCAGTATTTCATGATCTTGAGCAGTGGCAGAACTGGCTGTCGAGACAGGCAATGGAGTACTGTTATCACCTTTCTTCTTCTTTTTACCTGGCATTTTTACTGGAACAGATGATGGCTTAAAAGCAATAGTTTCCTCTTCAATAATTGCGGAAACGATGGTTCCAAAACTATTAATAATATCTTTTTCTAATGCCGCTGGAATAAATGCTGGAGGTGTAATTTTGTACGAGCTTGGGAGAGTTTTGTAGTTCTCGAGCGAGGGCGCCACATCCTTTCTGAAGAGAACAACTCCCGAATCTTTAGTATCCAGCTCATCTTGACATTTTTTACGCAATGTTTCTAGTTTGTTAATTTCTTTGACAAACTCGCCCTTTCTAGAAGTAATCTGCCTTTTGGTTTCTTTAGTACGTGTTTTCAGATCTTCTGCTTTCTGGAGAATCGTTGCTCGCATTTTTTCGATGAAGTCTTTTACCTCCTTTACCACGTTTTCTGTAGCTTGTTCCATTTTTTCTAGATGTTCGACCAACTGCTGTTTTGCTTCCTCTCTTTGCTTGATATGGCTCTGGATGAGGTATAAATCATTTCTTAACATAGCTCTTTTGTGTTCGAAAAATTCGGTAAAATCTCCAGTTCTGTGTCCAGTATGAGCAGTGGCCATACACTGGGAACATATTGCTTGATTGCAATCCTGACAACATAAATCCACCGTATTATATTTATGTTTCGGACAAGCAGCTTTTTCCATTCCCTTCATGCTATCTTGTGCTGATTTACGTTTCATCCCTTTCTTCTTCGGAGGGTTAGATGCATTTGATGAAGTTGAAGCAGGATCAACCGGTGTTGTGGAAGTGGCCGTGGTACTTTCAACGAGGTCAGGCTGAATTGAAGGTTCTTTCTTATAACAAAAATACATGATAGCATAAAAAAATAATATAAACATGTAATATATATTTGTCAGAAATTTACATGATAATCGATCGATTTATTTTCAGAGTTTTTTTTTCATAAAAGAAGAATTAAAGAGGAAAAAAATATGACATTTTTTTGAAAAATATTGAAAACAAATACATCTTATTGAATGATGTACTCAAAAGGTATTTTGAGATATATTCTTGGAATTTCATAAGTTACTTTTTTGACAGAACGGTAAAAAATAAACTAATATATTATCTATTAACTGACAATTTAAATTAATTTCAGTTTGAAAATAAATGTTTGTTAGATTAGAAATAATTATACTACGTTTCAATCACATATATCTATACATGAATGAACATACTTTGATTGAACTCGTCTCCATCCCAGGTGAAAAAGTTAAAGATATCACTTCATGATCTTTGAAGGCATTTCCTTTGCTGTGGAGTCCTGAACAGTTTTCACAGAGGTTCCCACATTGTTTGCAGTGAGAGTGAAGAATACTTACATCAGCACACACCCCACATTTAGTTCGAGGAGAGTATATAGAAGACATCGCTTGCCTGATAATATAAGAAAAGACGTAAAATAGCCTTGAAATTAGTATCAAAATACTAGGGTAATTGTGAATTTAATGGCGATGGGCGGAAAAACATGATTTCAGTGTACAATGATGACTATTATACATGTAACGATTTCTTAGAAAAAGGACATTTTCTTCTGCAGGTGGGAAAAAACCACCCCTCCAAGGTGCCATTTATATGGAACAGCAGGTTTAATTAGCACACGATGACTAATCCATTCCGTTTCAAATTTGTTTTCGTTGTTGAAGCCCATGTTTCTAATACAGTTATGGACCATACTAAATACAAACACTTTTTTTCTGCACATGACCTTGAGGTTTAAAAGATGATTGTACATCATGTGATAGGTAACTTTCTTTGTTTCTATAAGCTTACAATATTTCTTTATAGCGAGAAATGACCAGGACAGGAATATTCTCATCTGCAAGTTTCCTTGAACTTGCTTATATCTCAAATGACCTTTGTTCAAGCTCATGGAAATTCCTCATGTTAAAAACAATCTTTATGTGAAATTTCAACTTCCAATTTTTCTCGATGGGAAAGCTATAGACCGGGCAAAAATTATGTTTACTCTTTTTTCTGCCATTGACATTGAATTTACTGAAGCCTTGAGAGATCCTAACAGGTCATAATCAACTATGAGTCTTCAATGTTTCTCCATTACAAAAGTATGTTCCTGTAATACACAAATCTTGATTACAGGTGATATAATTCTGTGCATATTAATGTGCATCCGTCATTTGTGAAAATATTTGAAAACGTGATAAATATATCTCACACATACTTACCTTTTCTGAATATTCGACTAACACACGGAAACAAAAATAAGGTACAGACAAGTCCGCATTAAATCCTCTGAAATAAGCAAATGACAAGAAATATTATCTTTTAATGACCTAAGGAATACATCAACCTTTAACCCGGATATATTGATTCATCAGAAAAAAAAAGACTTTCAATATATACAAAACAATTTAAAAAAGTTAAAGAAAGAATATGGATTCATAAAAATCTTCACTGATAAGAAATTTTGCCTATGCGTTATGAACAGTATTTAAAAACAATTTAGAACATTAATTTTAGAATTGATATTGGAAATAGAAATTTTCGATATTGAAGGAATTTTATTTAAGCTAAAGTGATACATGTGTGTTATATAAAGAGGCTAAATTTATAGGTACAAAAAAAAGGAGAAAAACGTAAGCTAAAACATAATACATGACAGAATATTGATGCGAATTCGAATGACTTCTGTAGCTCGCTGGTGGAAATATGGAATAACAAGGGTTGAGATTTTAGAAGCAGTCAAACGGAAAATTTAATGCACTGCTAAAGATTGCAGTAACAACATATGTGAATGAACTTTTACTCTGTGACCTAAAAATGTCTAATGTGTGTTTGTATTTTATTCGTATTTATTTGCAATGCCTTTAGAAATCGTGTCGAAGTTTCTTAAAGAATTATATATTCAACAATGCATGAACAGAATCTTTTTTTTTTTACGAAAGTAAAGATACTACATCTAGTATGATAGTATACTGAATATTATTTTACAATAATAATCAATAAATTTGGTTTCAATATATACTCGCATGTAATAAATTGTATTGTTCCAAACTCCAAACCCTCTACCCTGTGGTTTAATTCTAGGGTTAAATGATGCAAATAGATTGATGCAAGATAATACATGCTTAGAGAAAACGGACGTCAACCATTAACTTAAATAAAAAAAACCTCTTGTGTAATGAGTGCGAGATGGCAACACGGATTGTGGTAGTCTTCTGCTTAAGTATAGACAAAGAAAAACCTGATGACCAATGCAAAGTTATTTACATACAAATTATCTTAGAAGTCAAACTTTCTGGTGCTGATTAAAAATTAATTTAATCAATTTTGTTCTCTGTTTTTTATAACAAATAAGCACGAGTATTTTATTTCATTTAAATACATTCCAAACGAAAGTCTTTCTCTCCTTGACGCCATCTTGAAAACAAAAATGCAAAGTTGTTGAAAGTTTTTGGAGAATATATTTGGTGATTGCATACATTGATAGCTAAAAATACCGCGTACACTTTCCTCATGCACATACGATTGTATATCTATCACTAGAATATAAAGGTTATTATACTCTCACGACGACGTGTACTGAAACTGGAAATATTTTATTATACGATGTGTGCATCACGCTTTATTTCCAGCGTTTAATTATAGCCTAGCACGTTAGAGAAGAAAAATCCCTGTGACCCATGGAAAGTTATTTACAAATCAATACAAAAGGTCTCAGGCGTAAAACAATCTGGTGATGATTAAAAGTGAATCTATTTTGTCCTCTGTAAAATTTAATATAACAAATAAGCAGGAGTATTTTATCCAATGTAAATACATTAAAACGGAAGTCTGTAACTTCTTGACGCCATCTTGATAAAAAAAAAAGCGGGCTCAAATTAATGTTTGCAAATAATACATCCTGAAAGTTTCTGAAAAAAGATTTGAAGAATAAATTTGTCTATAATTGCATATATTGATAGCTAAAAGTACCTCATACACCCACCTCGTGCACGTACGATTGTATATCTATCACTAGGATATAGAGGTCTACTTCCAAGTCTCTGAAACGGGAGATATGTGTCACGCTTTATTGACTTGGGGAAAAAAGCTGAGTGGAATAGAGTAGTAAGTGGAGTGGAGTCTGTATGATAAAAGTAAATCGAGTTTTGAAAAAAATTCAATTTTCTTGATATATACATGTACAATCTTTTCCGTGCAATTTCATTTGGATTTGGATAAAAAGAAAGAAACAAGAAACTAAAGAAAGAAATGCAGCAAAAAAAAAAAAAAAAAAATAAATAAATAAATAAATAAATAAATAAAAAAAAAAGGAAAGAAAGAAAAATAAAGACCTTTAAGGTATATCACTCGTGAAAAAAGTTATATGAAGAATTTTTTTAAAAGTATATTTTTAGATAAGTATTCATATAGCTTGACTCAAAATCGCAAAGAAAATGGGAATAAGTTTGCATCTTACCTAGCTTCGGTTCAATTAAATTGACCTTTTTGCACTTAAATTGTAACTCTTTGGTTAATTACTTTAATCTTTATCATATTTATCAGCTGTAATTTTGGTAATAAATATAATCTTATTTACGTAAAATAGTTTGAATAATATTTGTCACTGAACAAATTAGGCAAATTAATGCGTATAATTTATTGTGTGACCTTTTTGCACGAAAACAGTATCGTGTTTTGGGTATAAAAAAATCTACATATAGCCAATAAAAAAATTTCTTGTATCAAACTTTTTATGATTCAAAATGAACTTTGCTGAGGTAGTCCCAGACATAAGGGACAAGGAAATTTTTATCATCATGATGGGACCTGTTCAAAGTCTGATGGGACAGGTACTTTTTTAGATATTCATTAATTGAATCGGGGAAAACTACAGAAACTAGATGTATAGTCTGTATTGTGAGTTGGATCTCTCTGAATTAATATAATCCAGGGTTAATTGTAAATTATATAAAAAAGAGAAAATATTCATTGAAATACATTGCCAAAAAATATTTAAATCAGTTGAATCTGATTCGTCGAGGAAGACAATTTGATACAAACACTGTTACAGTACCCTCTGAATCGTGAAAACACACTTTCCAGTGTGACACAGCGTAGCAGAAGTCAACATTGCTTGGTAACGGATTATATTCCAAAAGATTGTTGTCAGCTGGAATTCTATGCGCAAACTTTTCACCGTTACTTGTATATAACATTCATTTTATATCATTCTCAACCACTCATATATCTAATTTTTTGTGGGTAACTATACGTTAAACTTTTAACAATGATTCACTTAAATTGAATCATTCACTTAAATTGTTATCTTTGAATCTAGGGTAGAGGACTGGGCTTTAATTCCAATCTATAATTAGTTTCACCAATATTAGAACAAATACAAGCTTATTAATTGCACGGAAAGCTATACCAATCCTACTAACTATGTGATGAAATGTATCTAGATATTCACTGTTGTAAACATATTATGCCAGCTGTAATTCTATGTTCTTTTTCTGCAGATAAAAGCAAAAACAGTTACTTTTGTAAGCAAATTTGAGGAAGAAATGTGTACAATGACAGGAATCTGTTGAAATTTTTAGGTACTGTTACAATTCCTTGACTCCACAACATATTTAGATCTTGTTTCTGTAGTGTTTCCCAGGAAAAGGTGAAATGAAGTTTTTTTTACATGAAATGAGAAACAACAATGAAATGAGGAACAGGAAAAATAATTAATGACCTTCATATATCAATTAACAGGGCAGTTTTTCACTTTAATTTAAATAAAAAAGATGTGATTAAGTTTCATATTCGTCTGTTTGGGAAAAAACCAAATTCAATTGTTGTGATTAAGTCACATGTTTGTCTGTTTGGGATATGAGTGCGGTCATATGTCTGGGCCTACAGTTGTGAAGTTAGTGTATATCCTAATTAATCTTTGTCATTAAAAAAAATTAAGTGATCCTCTGTGTGACACATGAAGGTCATTAGGCTGTATCTCTTTCTCTTGTTGCTTGTTTTATTCTTTTCACACAAATCCAAAATTATGTAGCAAAGGAGAGATTGAATGTAAATGGAATCATTTTTTTTTTTTTATAAACTTTATATTTTCTGTTACACTACAGATTCCACTCCATGACTTCAGATAACTCCACTCTACTCCACTTAGATTTTAACCCCAAGCCGTGTCACGCTTTATTTCCTGCTATTAACATAGCACACAGAAACGATTGTTGAAAAAGCTTGAATCTGGTGATAAAATCTGAAAAAAAAATACCTTTCGTCCTTCAGCATACAACAATTTTATAAATCTACCAGCCGTAAATTAAATAAGATGATTGATTGTTTGTAAAATGCTGCAAGTTGTCATGTTCATTCAGTTTTAAATTTTTTGCATAAAAGGGAATTATAATTTTTATTGTATGAATGTTTATTTTTTTTCCTGTACTTAGCCATTGTATATGTTATTGGAAGTGTAAGGTCACCGGTGTAAAAATTCAATTTTTAGCGCTTGGGCGGGATTTCACTTAGTTGAAAGATATAGCAGACGACAAACACACAGTACGAGTTCGAGAGAAAAATGGGTAATTTAAATTTAATCGATTTTCTGAAAAAAGCACAGAGCTAATTCATAAAATACTGTTTATTGTTTACTTTTTTTTTACGAAATATACACGACTGCCATTATTCTATGCGAGATTCTTTCTCTGTTTATCTGTCTGTCTGTCTGTCTGTCTCTCTCTCTCTCTCTCTCTCTCTCTCTCTCTCTGTGAGAGGGTTTATGAGTGTGTGAGGGTGTGTGTATACATGTGTGCATGTGCAACAGACTGCCATATTAACATGCTCTATACTGTGTATTTCTTTAAGACACATGTATCTGTACATAGAATGTCTGTGTATTACACTATTTTGAAATACCCATGGCCCCAAAAGACACAAAACATAAAAAAATCTAAAAAGTTAGCTTTGCTGTATGTGAATTAGAATGGTAAAAACATCTGAAGAATCATTGTTTTGATGGGGACAAGCTGTAGTAAAATGCGTCACTTAACACTTACCTTGAAACAGTTAATGGATTATGGAAATGCTTTTTAAAAAGAATTCATAGACAAAGATCATATTTTGCATCAGGGTGCATTTTTGACACCTTGTTCCCCCACATTTTGATGCATTTAGCATACTGTTGTCTGTGATCCCTACGCATGCCTTAATATATTATGTAAAACCTGTTTATTTCATTCAGGCTATGAATGTACATTACTCTAAAACAAATGTCACATTTTGACTATAATGGCATGCTTTCAAAAACACTTTTATAATAAGCTGCTGACTTCTGATCTGATCAGAGAGAGAGATAAATCTCATTTAGAAAGTAGTTGAATATAATTTCTAATTGACTTAATACAACTAGAAATGTTCATCACACGCATGAGAAAAAAAAATGATATTTTAAACAAGAGGTCCAGGGGCAACATCGCTCACCTGGGCACTTTGGCTAGGAAAAAGCAGAAAACAGTTCATTATTGAAAAGTTTAAATATAAAACTGATGGGGGGTTGATTTGAACAAGCTTTAATCGAAACTTCCTTAGGATGCTTTTGAATTAATATGACACATAATGGCTTTGCTGTTCATAAGATGAAAATTTTTATTGATATATCCTTTATATTCCCTTGTATATATAAATATGATCCCCTGTTATGGCCCCCTCTATTCTCCTGGGGGGTCAAGATTTGAACAAATTTAAATATACATTAACTGAGGATGTTTTTTTTTTATTGTCATGACCAATCATGCCTTTGTTGTTATTGTGAAGATTTTTAAAGATTTTTCTTATGTAAAACTTTTATCGCCCATTTTGGTCCCTTCCTCCCCCGGGGTAATGATTTGAACAAGCTTGAATCTACACTACCTGAGGATGCTTCCATATAAATATGTCTAATAATCATGGCTTAACTGTTCTTGAGAAGATTTTTAAAGAATTCTTCCTATGTATTCCTATGTAAAACTTTGATCCCCTATTGTGGCTGCACCCTACCCCCGGGGGTCATGATTTAAACAAACTTGAATCTACACTACCTGAGGATGCTTCTATATTAATATATCAATCACAACTTTTCTGTTCTCGAAAAAAAGATTTTTAAAAATTTTCCCCATGTATTTCTATGTAAAACCTTGATCCCCCATTGTGGCCCCACCCTTACCCCGGGGGTCATGATTTGAACAAAAGTGAATCTACAATATCTGAGGATGCTTCCATATAAATATGATCAATCATGACTTTTATGTTCTTGAGAAGAAGATTTTTAAAAAATTTTTCCTACGTATTCCTATGTAAAACTTTGATCACCCATTGTGGTCCCACCCTATCCCCGGGAGTCATCATTTGAATTTACTTGAATGTACACTACCTGAGGATGCTTCCATATAATATATGACCAATCATGGCTTTGCTGTTCTAAAGAAGAGGGTTTTTAAAGGTTTTCCCTATGTATTCATATGTAAAATTTTGATCTCCCATTGTGGCCCCATCCTACCCCTGGGAGTCCTGATTTGAACAAACTTGAAATAACACTACCTGAGGATGCTTCCATCCATATAAATATGACATGGCTTTGCTGTTCTTGAGAAGAAGATTTTTAAAGATTTTACCTATGTATTCCTATGCAAAACTTTGATCCCCCATTGTTGCCCCACCTTACCCCCGGGGGTCATGATTTGAACAAATTTGAATCTACACTACCTCATAATGATTCCACATAAGTTTCATACTTTCAAGCACAGTGGTTCTTGAAAAGAAGATTTTTAAATGATGCCATTATTTTTTCACAAAATCATAATTATCTCCCCTTGGAAGAAGGCATGGCCCTTTATTTGAACAAATTTGAATCTCCTTTACCCAAGGATACTTTGTAGCAATTTTGGTTGAAATGGCCAGGGGTTCTTCAGAAGAAGATGAAAATGTGAAAAGTTTACGACAACGACGACGACGACAACAACGACGACGACAGACAACGGACAAATTTCAATCAGAAAAGCTCACTTGAGCCTTCGGCTTGAGCCTTCGGCTTAGGTGAGCTAAAAATAG